AAACACCTCAATGAAATATAACAATCTCTAGCTTTGAGTCATTAACCTCCTGAACATCCCCTTTTCACCATGGATAACAAACTTCCACTTCCCCCCAAGTTTTCTTGCAATAAATAAACCCTAAAAAAACCCCAATCCCACAATCCCTCCAACCCCAAACCCTAGAATTTTCAATTTTCCCAAATCCTTTCCAAACCAAAAATGTTCAACAAAAACAACCCCACATTCCTCCACTTCCCTCATCCCTCCTCCTCCTCCGCCGGCCCGGACTTCTTCTCCGGCCACCACAACCACCCGGAATTCTTCTCCGGCCACCACCACCACCCGGAGTTCTTCTCCGGCCACCACTACCACCACCACCACCACCCGGACCCCACCATCCCGACCACTGGCCCTCCTCCGCCTCCACCAACCCGAAAACCGACCCCAAAAAAAGATCGTCACAGCAAAATATACACATCCCAGGGCCCACGTGACCGTCGGGTCCGACTCTCCATCGGCATCGCCCGGAAATTCTTCGACCTCCAAGAAACGCTCGGTTTCGACAAGCCCAGCAAAACCCTCGATTGGCTCCTCAACAAGTCAAAGTCCGCCATCAAAGACCTCGTCGTCCGGTCAAACGACGAAAAGACCGTCATTACCCCCTCTTCGGCACCCTCCGAACGCGAGGCTTCGTCGTGCGACGATGGAGGGTGGCCGGCCAAGGGCAAATCGGGAAATAACAAAAATAAGGAGGCTCTGGATTTAGCCAAGGAGTCGAGGGCCAGGGCCAGGGCCAGGGCTCGGGAGAGGACTCGCGAGAAAATGTGCATCAAACAAATATGCGGTGGGGACGTCAACACGCTTAACATGAACATGAATTTTCAACAGAATTTCGGTTTTCCCGCCGAGAATTGGGATGTTTGCGGACAACTCGGCTCGACTCAGCCCAGTACTCTACTGTGTGCCGTTTTGGACCAGCACAAGTTCATGAACAGGTAAAAAAAATCGAGAATGATATTATGTGGAAAATGTTTTGTATTTATGGGGTTTTATTATTATAATTATTATTATTATTTTTTTTTTAT